GTACAAGATGAATTTGCAGAGCTCAGAAATAGAATCACAGAATGTTAGAGGGTGGAAGGGGCCTCTGGAGATCATCTAGTCCAACCCCCCTGCCAGAGCAGGATGAGCTAAAGCAGGTTGCACAGGATGGCATCCAGGCAGGTTTTGAATGTCTCCAGAGAAGGAGACTCCACAACTTCTCTGGGCAGCCTGTTCCAGTGCTCTGCCACTCTCAAAGTAAAGAAGCTCCTCCTCAGAGGAAATCTAATCCAAAATTAAAATCCAAATCTGATAAAGAAAAGGTAGAAGCTCATACCTACACCTTAACCTGGTCTAGAGTAGGAGTAGGCTACATTTTCCTGTAAAACACTACTGAGGTCCCTTCCCTGGTCCCCAAACACATTGTGCTGCGACACCTCTCATCTCCTGGATGTCACTTCTGAAATCTGGGATGCCAGAGGATACTGTTTTGGGACATCTTTGTACCTTTACTGAAGAAAGAAGCAGGGAATATCAGTATGAGATGCGCTAATCAGTGAGGACTCTGTCCTGTGCTTTGCCCCCCTCCATGGTCCAGTGAGTGTGAAAAGCAGCACATACACCTGGATGTAACTCAGCTGTCACTTTTTACTTTGCAGTTTGTATCAGTAGTCAACATCATGCCTGTAGCTCAGCCCCAGTACCATAGCTGTCACACCGAGGATGGTGTATGAGGCAATACCTTCCTTGGAGATAATTCATCTTGTTTGTTGAAAAAAAAAGAAGAAAGAAAAAAAAAGCACATTTCTAAGTATTTGTCTAATGTGGCTCACTGGCCAGACAGTTTTTGTCTTCACTATCTAAGCAATATTTACAACAGAATAATTTCAATTCTTAACCTCACTGGAATCAATTTGGAATTGCTACACAAATGCCATTTTCTTTCCTGGCTCAGAACTCGATGAGTTGGGCTAGAGAAGTCAGGATCCTTAATTGCCAGGAGCAGGAAAAGCTGCACATAGCTGAAGCCTCTCACAGCAAGAGCTGGACCCTTTCCCCAGCAGGACAGAAACCTGTTCACTCCCAAGAGGGGCCCAGGGTATATACTCGGGATGGCTGCCCTTGCCACGTGCACCCCAAACTCCCAGGTTGTGCCTCATTTCAGAGGTGCCATCCAAAGCTAGCCAGCTGTCCATGAAGGAGTTGACATTGGGACAAGATTAATGACATCTGAAAACCCAGGCAAAATCTATGCCTGATGCAGTTATCTATAACCAGAAGTGGAGTAAAGTGCTTAGCCTCACAAATGCAGCAATAGCCATCCAAAGGGAATGTGCTTCAGAGCAAAGGCATTTATAGAAAAAAACCCCTGCTCATGATCCCATTGCAATATCCCTTCTCCACCAGCTGGCATTAGCCGACTGGCCTCTCTCACAGAGTAACACCACCAGGTTTATGACAGCTGCTCTGTTTTGCTTTAGCCAAATGCCAGTCCCCATCACATTCATTTTATCCCGGCTCCTCAAGAACATTTAATGCTCTGAAAAAAACAGTAGGTCCATCAAATGGATATTAATAGAGCACTTAGCACATACATGTTTGTGATTAGCAGATTAAAGGTTAAGAACCCAAGTAAAACAAAACCTGGAGTAATTCCAGCCTTGAGTCAGGAAATATTTTAGCATTGAAGCCAAGGGTGGCCTTCTATAATTTGTACCAAGAAATAGGAGTTGGAAATGAACATCAGTTAAATTAAAAAACGAATAATTCAAGCATCATGATTTTAATGAATACTTCAATCCCCACAAGTTCAGAAAGCATAATGCTAAAGTTGCTGTATCACCTCTTCTGAGTTCCTTGCAAACCCTCTTACAGGGCAATGCATCAAGCACAGACTAGATCTCTGACTGCTCTTGTTCAGATAGTGCTATCAGTTTCCTTCTTTTGAAAAACATAATAAGCTGATGCAGGTTTAGTTTATTGCCATGATCATACCAAAAATATAATTTTCCCTTTAAGGATACTTATATTGGAGAGGAAGATCCAGTGATCTCATAGCTTTTAATCTTACTTATAGTAAGCAATGCTCCTAATCAGCTGGCGATACAATTGACAAGATAACTCTTTTTACAAGGCCATCTTGCTGGCTCCATAGGAAAAATTACCTCCCACTAGTCTCAGCTGGGTACCAGGGTTGGGGGAAGGATGAGTGAGACATTATCTCCTTCCCCAGCAGTGATGTGGCTGTGGTAATACACCTATGCAGCTTCTCTTCCCCGCTTTTTGCTCTTTATCTCAGAGCTGCAAGCAACCCTCTTAAACAAGATCTGGTCCTATTCCAGTTGGAAAGCTTTTTTATTTTTAAGTTCCTTCATATGAAAAAACCCACAAACCAGTTCTCATAAAAGACACGTTTGTTCTTCTGTGAAGATTTATGACAATATAACATGTGTTTTGTTTCTTCTGTTTTAATTTGCCTTTGTGCTAATGTTATTTTCCTCATTAAAAATTATGACATTTGGAAGAAGGCATATGCAGGAATAAACTGCACGTGGGATGTCAGCCTTGGATTTCATGGATAAAGAATGTCTAGGATGAGGGAGCACAACGCTAAGACCTGCAGAGAAACCAGCTGAGAGCAGTGAGCAGCAAACCACTGTCCTGCCATTCAGGCCTCTGCATCAACCCCCCAGGTGGCCTCACAGCCCTACTCTAGGGTTGCATATTTATTTTCCATGCTAGCGGGAAGGAGCAAGGAAAGATTAGGATTAAGGACTGGGCAGAGACACGCCAATTCCAGCAGATGAAGAAGGAGGGAGGAGGTGGCTAGGCTCTGGCAGGCATGTGCTGAGCTAGAAACCATGTTATGATGTGCCACCAGCAGTACTTGTATCACCCCTCAACCTTCTCTTCGTCTCTCACTAGATTTTCACAGATCTCCTCAGATTTGGGTGCATTTCCATTTATGGCCTATTAACATATCATCACTATAAATATTTTTTATTTCTTTCTCTGATTATTCTCTACTATTTAACTTCCCCCCCCCTCCCCATCCAGTTAGGTCTTTTTCTCTAATTAGACATGGATTTTGCTGCTTTTCTTTCCTAGTGATGAAATAATATTACTTTCTCTGAAGATTCATGTTGTTTTCTGAATTTGGGTGTCATAATAGTCTGAAAGGAGATTTGAGTCATGATTCAATAATGGGAAGAAAATATTAAGCACTATGTCTAAGGGAAAGGCATAACAGTAGCCATTATCTGGAGGTGATAGCGGGTGAACTCTGATTAGGAAAGAGATCTGTTTTTATGAGTGTGATCGCTGGAATGCAACGAGGGCAACAGTCAAATCTATGGGCTTTGATGTCTCCAGAAGAAGAATGTGTACCTTTCTAGATGACTTAAGTTGGTCAAAGACAATTCCCTGGCTCAGCTGGAGGGACAAACTGGTAGTAGCCCCTCGAAGCAATACTGTATTACCCCATGATCCTTTCTGGCCTCGGATTCCACACTTGTTCTAGTTTAACAGGAAAAAGTGGAAGCATTTTTCATTACACATGAACAGCTGCATGTTTAGTGAGGATTTAGCATGATGTTTCCTTGAGTCTGGTGGGGAGAATTTTTCCTGATTATCAAACTGTGAACTGTCAGTGGCACACTTTTCCTAAGCACTTAGAGAGCAGTGTTCTTATGGTATTTACATGCCTAGAGATGCAGAGAACTCTGCCAATGCCTACTAGTGCCAAAAGTGGTTAGAAAACAAATGATTCAGTTCCAGAGTTAGATAATTTGGAAATACCGTAATGAACTTTTCTGCATCTTCGAGCATGTCTTTTAAAGCCTGATGTCAAATGACTTCAGCACCTAATCCTGCTACTAAAAGCATTTCCATCAGTTAGGAACTGCTGTGGGTCGTGAGCAGGGACAACAAAAATAGGGCTACTGGGCAAAGTCTTCAACCCCATTGAATGCCCACGATTAGTCATTTCAGGTTGCTGTAACTCCCTGGGCTGCCAGAAGCAGCAGCAGCAGCTCTGAGGATGCCTCAGTGGCAGCTGAGGTGCTTCTGCTGCGCGGAAAGACAAGGACTCCATGAGGCACCCGGACAAATTGACCTTGCTCCTGAGCCCCAGCCAGCTCCCATCAGAGCTCTTCTAAAAGACTTGGGTGCTCCTCAACAATAAAGTTAAACCCTTAACTCATTTATTTTTCTTTCATCTTCTATTCTTCCTTAACTTACCTTACACTTACTTAACTTACAGCCACTGCTAGTTTTTCCTGCATGTGATTTGATTGACTACCATCAGTGATCCACTCTGGCCTCCAATTGGGAGACGTGGAGACACACCATCCATAACGCTGTGAGAACACACGTAGAATTAGTCTCGAGGAGAAAAGAAAACACAGAAAGAACCATGCCTCGCCAATGCCGCCTAAGGAGACTTTCCACTGTGCCTTTTGCAACCGGCCTTGCCTGTCCCACATTGGCCTTTTTAGCGATCAGCGCGCTTGTAGCAGGTGTGGGTAGAGCCCTCCCCATATCTTTGTTCACAAAGCCTAGCGATGATGATGATGATGAGACATATACTCAGTTTATGTTTTGTATGTGTAGAACAAATAGCAAGGTCAGCCAGGAAAAGGACCTGCAGTAGTTACTTGACAGCATACAACACAGTAATATATCAGTGAATCATCCAGTTAACTAAATATAGCATGTAAGAAAAAGCCACAAGGACCCATTCACTCCTATGTGTTCTGTGAAATGAAAAACTAGTCTATGAAGTTGTGTCCTGTGTCCTTGACATCTCTATATGCTGTAAATATCATGCATAGTGTAATGACTCATCCTTTAAATGCAAATACTCAATTTAAATCAAAGAAGTCTTGACTTTTTTTTTTCTTAAAGATAAGCAATAATTTATTTCTCTTTCATCTTCACAATTATCACATACTGCCCAGCTACATGACCAATGCCACTACATAACACAGGAGAATTGCCCACCTACACTTTACTTGGACAAATACAGTTGCAATTTACAGATTAAGAGCACTGTACAATGTGTAGTTGGAAAAATGTCATTCTTATCTATATGATGTGATGTGGCATATGATTTATAAACAGATGCAATCTAAGATGTAAAACTTTAAAACTTGTTAAGCCAAAGATACAGTATAAAGCATTTTGTTTTGGTATTGTATTGTTACTAAAGTAGAAAAAAGAAAACTAGAGAAATAAATCCAGATCTTAACTTACAGGATATGTATTAGGTTAAGAAATTAATTGGCTTCTCCACTTTTTTTGTTTTGCTTTTCTTTTTCTTTTTTTTTTCCTACAAATGAATAATATGAATATATTGCAGGATAAAGAAAGACTGCCAGATAAAGAAGGTACTGTTATATGAAAAACAAATGAAAAATTACCAGGTAATTTTGCTTACAAAAAAGGTCAAACTGTAAACAGTCACAAAATATATAAAAATGCCACATTGAACGAGGCAATCGTACTCTACCTAAACTGGTAGTATACTCTGAAAGAAGTTGCATTCATACAGTAGTAACTGATAAAAAGGCATTGTGCACTCTTGTGCCATCTGGAGATTTAGCACCATGTGTCATCAGTTCTTGGATTGTCATCCAGTTGTCCAAGATTTTCTTGTTCCTCTTTTTCATCATCTTTTTGTGACTCAGTTCAATAATGTTAATTTCCTTTTTGCCCTCGCTGCCACTCTGTGGACTTTCCTTCAGGCACTCCAGCCTGCTCCTCATCATGAACTCTCGCCGCCTCCTCTGCTCCTTAGCTCGCACCAAATGCTGCTTCCGCTCTTCTTTGCTCCAGTAGCGACCCATCTTCATCTCACTCATTGTATCATCATCTGTCGTCATCCCACTGCGCTCCTCTTTAATTTTTAAGGCACGTTCCTTCAGGATTCTGTCTCGAACTGGTCTCTTTGTGATGTATCTCGTCCCATCACTCCTTATTTTCACTTTCCATTCCATCTTGGGCTCCGGACACTTCTGTGAATCTTTGCACATGCTCACCAGGCTGAGCTGGCTTTGGGCATACTCCACAGCAGACTTCTGCTGGATCAGCTGCATGTAGCTTTGATAATGCTTTGCATGAGCAGGTATATTCCCGTACCTGTAAGAAGAGCTGTGATATGGAGACAGGTAGGGAATGTGCTCGCTGCTCTGCTTTTCTTGGTCTGTGAATTTGCTGCTTTCTGATGCCAGCACTGCGTTCTCAGCAGCGCCGTTTTGCTCGGCGGGTTTGGTTTTGGCTGAAGTTGTCTCCCTGTTGCTTTGTCCTGAGGATGACTGATTAGCCACGATTGTGCTTCTCAGGTTTTTTCTGTTGGTTATGCTGATCATCCTCTGGAGAGAGTTATCAGGGGATCGCTCCACTGTCAGCGGAGTGCTCCTGCAACTTTCGGCCGTGTTATAGGCACTGGAGCTGTCCTTGTCAGACTTCTCAGGGTGCTCTATGATGTCATCCAGTTTGCCTCTTTGTACATCTATGCTGGTGTTGTAATTCCTGAATCCTTCGTCATGTAATGCCCAAATGTCTCCGTACTGATCCCTCACCTTTTGAAGCCGGTGAGCTTGCATAATATTCTGACATTCAAGTTCAATGTTCCTCAGTTCCTCATTGAGTAGCTGCAGCTCATGCTCCACTCCATCTTGCTCTCTTCTGTTGCACTCTATCATGCTGCTCGAATAGTACAGGTCATACTCCCCATGGTTTCGGATCTTGCACTTCAGTTCCAAGAGCTGCCGAAATCTTTCACATTCCTCCTCTGGGTTTCCGATGAAATCAGATTCAATGTATTCCCCAGACACAAAGCTTTCGTTGCACTGGAGCTCAACACTTCCTAACGTATCTTGGCTGTGGCCCAGCTCCCGTTTGCTCTGCAGGGTACCGCTGCTCTGCTCCTCGGGTGCATTTTCTTGCTCAGAGCTCTCGTCATTGCGCAGACTTTCATCTGTAGGTCCCACCCCACTGTCCTTCTCATGGTTGTTGGATGATGAGGTTGCTGTGTCTGTAGTGCCATCCTCCTCTTCATGTTTCTTTGGCTGAAAAACATGAGCAAACCAAAATGATTATCAAATGCAAACCATATTACATGGGAGTATTTTCCAGCTCTGTTTTGCTGAAACAGCTGAGACCTGATTTAAGCTGAATTAATACAGATCACTAAACAGCAGTCCTACTGCTCATAGCTTTTAAACATTCCTAAGGGTCATGCTTTGGTGGCAATACCAAAGGAAGCAGATGAATTACAGCACTAGTGACATATCTTCTGAAGTCTGGAAATACTTCCTTCTCTAGCTAAGCCATCTCTTTGCAGTCCTTAAAGATAATGATCACCAGATGGTGCATTGGTTTTGGTTCTGGATTACGGCCAGAAACCAGTAGAGCTGAAAACTTCTCAAACTTGGGAAAAAGCTTTAGTACTAGTATCACTTCCAAAAAATAGAGCAAGCAGCCAAGCAAACAATGAATAGTATAACTTAAGAGGGTGCAAAAAGACTACTGTGTTTTTTTCACCAGTGAACATCTTGTTTGCTCTACGGGAATCGGCAGGGTTGAAGCCTGCAGAGGGATAGCCCTCTCTCACACTTCTTCTTGGTTTCAGTAGTCTCTTTCCAAAAGACCGTTCGTTCTGAATTCTAGGATTTTGCTCAAGCAGACCTCGCTCTGATGCATCCCTGGAGACTGTTTTTGTTCCCTAGTTAGAGTTTATGTTCCTTAGAAATAAAAACAGCCTTTTTACCATTAAATGTAGAACAACACTGAATGCTCACCATGGGCATAATGTCAAGCTTTTAGGCTGTTGGTTTTTAATTCACACTTCCCTCATGGTACCTAACCTATTTATATTCTCAGCCTATTTATATTCTCGAAGGATGTGAGATAATACCTCTCTGAAGAGACGGACACCTTTAATTTTTCAAACTGCATAAGCAAAGAATCACACTGAGTGCAATTTATATGGCCTGCTTGCCAAATATCCAAGTGTACATAGCACCAACCAAGCATCATTTCTCTTTTAGGAGGTATAATTGCATAATTATGTATAATGGTAGTAATAATCAAGGTAGAAAAAAGGTACAGTGCACTCGGTGAAATGAAACAAACTCAGAGGCCAGTCATAATTCCCTTTTCCTGTATTTTGACAGAAAAAAAGACAGAAGTAAAGCAGGAATAAAATGTGTCTCCTATCTCATCCTTTCACCTCTCTTCATGTGCACATCCTGATCATGCACCCTTCATCTCTTTTCCTTTCTTCAATTGTGAGGAAAAAATAATGGCCTGGCCTCAGAAAATCAAAAATAACCTCCACCCCCCAAACGCAATGTAACAGTGGAATAAAATAAATATTGAAAGAAACACAGCACAAGGAGAATTCAGTGTCTGTGACAGACCATTTATAAATTTCTGAAAAGATGTTTTAGCTATTTGTTTTCAGACAAGACTTGCAAGGAAAATCTTTTCTTTAAAATCATAGCATACAGTTTACACATCCTTTTGCATGTACCACATGTAGCTGATAATAAAATGGACACTAAATGCATAATTCTCATGTAGCTTTTTCAACCACATAAGCAATGTGTCAATTTCTACCTCTCACTTCCCCCCAAACAGGAGAAACTCTCCCGTTGAATTTAAATGCCATGGTAAAAACATATCAGTGTTATTCAAGGGATCATGCAAAGGATCAATGTTTCTTGATGTTGTAGGGTCAGAATTTTCCTCTGCCCCTAAACCTTTCACCGGAGGAGTAACTCCAGTTTGGGTCACCTACATCGCACCCTGGGCACTGCACTACTGTGCAACCCGTGTTTCTCACTCCTCTGGAGAATATTTAACCGCTGACACGAGGGAGAACAGCTCCACCAGACACTGGAAGGGCTGTGCTGCAGAACTGCCAGGAATTTGGGTGCCTGTCCCAAATGTGGGGCTCCATTCACATTACTGAATGAAGAGTGCCCGAATGTACTCTCTGATCCTGAGGGAGAGCAACAGCACAAGTTGCATCCATATGAATAAACTCGTCTTAACCCCCTAAACAGGGTGGCTTATCCATGATGTGTTAGTACAGTTACACAGCTTCCAGGAACTGAGATCCAGGATGGTTCCTCTGATGTCTCCAGCATGGTGCCACACCACCAAAGCATGTATTTGAGCACTCTCAAAAAAAATCCCTTAATGTATCTATTTGCATAGGTGTTGGAAACAGCCTCTACAGTTTGGGCACATGCAATCAACACTTTTGTAATTAATGACTCTTGCCTTCCACACCACTTCTATCAACAATTTAAACTTTGCTCCTTCAACTTCACATGATTTAGACTGAGTGAACAGAATACACTGGCATATACTCAAGTTACACTATCCATAATTAACACACATACACAAGATGTAAATAAAGCAAACCCCATCTTTCTAGTTTCAAAGAAATCAGATGGGTCGGATTCATTAGACCAAATGTAAATGTCTACTGTACAGAACCTGAATGTCAGAACTCAGAGCCAGAACTTTAGATCCCCCTCCTTGTCAGGAAGAAACAAGTGCCAGTACAAGCCTGCACAATCAGATTCTTTTCAACATAAAAAAAGACATCCATATCACGTTAAATATTTCCCCAATACGTGGATATGTGCAGCTAGCTCATTTACGAAAATGGAAAATAATGCAGCTATTTATTCTACTGTGTGTTTTTTGAGATATATTTTTTTAAAAATCCACAGTGACGTGAGTAAGGTAGCTCCTGGCATTTCTGTCCTGGACTTGTTATGCTTGCTGGATCTCCTAAACATGTGCAGACTGAGCAGTCTTTTACAACATGAGATTATTTTAATTTTATTTTGAAAGGATGCAAGCCTAATTTCAGGTTAAGTCCCTTCTGAAAAACAGGAGATAGTCTCCAATTGTCAGTGCGTTGCTTTTGTCAGTGTTATCTATTATCTATTCCAAACAAAGTGTTTGTTTTCAAACAAATTGTTGTCAATCTCTTCTACAATTACTTCTGCTTGAAATACCAAAGGGCTCCTTAGGCCTCATCTTTGCAGTGAGAACTCAGATAATGAGAAGTCAAACCTGGCGGTGCGTACAATCAAGCAATAAATGAACCTCAAAAGATTCTGCATTTCAGCTCTAGCAAGCATTGATGCCTATAAAATGGCTAATCTTGCAGGAATTCAGGCAGTGTTCTATTCTCATTTTACAACTTATCATGTATATTGGGACTAAAATCCTGGACCGCTACTGCAGTTTGAAGGCAGTGAGATTTAGCCAAAGGTTTTAATAAACATGGCCACTGGGCTCTCTGGCCAGTCTCTGACAGAGAGAGACTGACCACAGTGGGAGGAATCTCCAGTGTCAGGATGACCACAGGGTACTCCAACCACGAGGGAAGACTGGGATTGATTTCAGCAGTGCGCTAAAAGGGAAAATACTTTTCTGCAAACAATGTTCTTCTTCTAAATCAGGTATCTCTCAAAAAAAGAACTTCCCCCAGATATTTTCACTGCATTTCAGCTTTGAATGGACTAGAGTGAATTTTATTATCCAATTCTTTCTCTTCTTAATAGGTTTCGATATATTCCATGATACTGATAAGAATTTCTGCATGGCGAATGTATGGTATTCTTCTCAAAGTTATCTCTGCTGCACAATGAACCACAATGTTGTACAGGGGAAGGAATACAATAAGCTATAAAAAATGGAGAATTAAAACTTTCCTTGAGGCTTATTGGACTATTCTATGCGAGAAGATACAATTCTTGATTGAATTCTATAGAGTGTCTCAGAAACATACAGAAAAGACATGACTACCTACTTGATTCTTCTATTACAAACTGTACGAAATTCTTCTGTGATGGCTCACACTAAATGTTAAAATGACCTTCTGTAAAACAGATTTGTATTTGGAAGGATATTCTGCTATAGTATGTATTCACTCCTGCAGCTTGTAAGATTCATGACAACACATGAACCCAGAGGAATATGTTTTGGTTTACAAAAAGCAAGGCTGGTGTTGGAGCAAAATCTCCATGGCCAGCCAGAGATCCTCAGCTTGGCCACCGGCAGCTGCAATAAGAGAGTTTTCATAGCTCCAGTGGATTATATGATTCACCTCTGGAAACTGCTGCTTCCCAGCCTAACAAGGAGTAAAGAACCCGTTTTCTGACTTGCCGAGTCACTACACAGAGTCTAGAGAGACAGCAGCTGTCACAAATTACTGATGCCCCATTACACACCAAGCTGCATTTCGTTGATTTGATTACTCATTAGAAGGGCAAAGAAATGTCTGGCTGTCCTAGAACTACTTCAAGCAACCTAACATCAGACACCAACATAGAACAAGTGACTGTTATTTTTTTCAGATGTAGCTCTCTTCTACACTAGTATAAAATCTCAATAGAGGAAAAAAAGTAACCTCAGTATAAGATCCCAGTAGGGAATAAGAAATCTCAGTGAGGAAGAAAAAAATCTCAGTGGGTTCTGCAGAACCACAGAACACCACTATTCAATAATTAACAGTATCCACAATGCAAATTGAGTGAAAAAGCCAAAACTTGACAATAACTTGCAAGTGGAAAGTCACAACAGTGAAGTGATTTCAGAGATCCCAACATGTGAGGGTCTACTAAGGGCTTGTACATAGATCTGTTTAAGATCTAACTGCTGCAAGAAGTAGGGGGAGTTGTGTGAAAATGTCACCGTGCAAAGGAAATTGCTGTGCGAAGACAAGTGTTCTTTCTGACAGGATATCTTTTGCTATCCAAGATAAAATTTGTGGTTAAAAAATAAACAAGATGCTAAATATCAGATCAAAGTAGCTAGCAGGGCAGTAGTTAGCACATTTAACCTGGGAAACTGAGCTTGGCTCACTGCCTGGAAAATAGGGTCATAACTAAAAGGCCACTATAAATCCTGTTGCAAGGCTCCCTTCACCTCTGCTCCTGGAATTATTCCTTTTTATGTAAATAACTAAACGTTTATAAGATCAAGGATTTGCAATTGGATCTACCATATTCTAGATAATTGACTTAATTATTCTGTCAGTGTCTCTGTCCAAAACAATATTTAATTTATGTGCACTGATTATTTTTAATAGGAGCTATCATCTAGCCAATAGCCCAGTGTCAAGGCTGGAGGCGAGGAGGAAACATGCTAGGTACATGATCAGGCCCCCAGTGTGGACCAGGCAGTGAGGTTTTTGAAGCCAGGTCTCCTGTTATCCAAATAAGCTCCCTGGTTTCCAGAAGAAGAAAGGCTCTCAGTCTTTCCCCCTCTCTCCATTTCAAAGAAAAATGCCTCAGGCTCTGCTTTCGAGCAATTCAGAATGGGGAAAAAATTGAAAGTAAAAAATTTTGGTGGGTGGAAAAACAGTTTTCCCCCAGCTGCATATATGCAGAAGCAAGGAGATGAAGGTGGATTTTATTTCTTCGGCTCCATACAGGTGTGCATGCTGATAAATCATCAGGTCCAGCAGAGGATAAGGTCACTTAAACTTTCCACAATATAGCACAACTGAGAAGTCCCTTCCCCTGATGAAACTCTATGGCTGGGGGTGCTCATGCATCTTTGCTTACAGCACGTACGGGCAGGTAAAATTCTAGATAGCAGCACGCTGAGACTATGCTAACAGGATGTTTATTCATCTCCATTAACAAAACAAATGCCAAGCTGTGCACTGTCGATATAAGAAAAATACACTTGTATTAACAAAACACCTGTTGTTTATCTGAAAAGACTCTTCCATCTTGTTTTGCAAGCTCTCTGGTGCAAGGGCTGGCTCATACCTTGCGTGCATACAACAAGAGGGGCATCTATCCCAGATCACAGCTCTAGGTGCTACACTAATATCATTCATTAAAAAAACAAAAACCCACAAAATATAACAATATAAACCCCCAACACTTCAGAATTGAGGATGGAAAGCAATATTATTCTGAGAAGCTGGGAGAAAACAAGAAATCTGCATCCCTCACAGCCTCCTAAACTGTTTGCTAACTTTTCATTCTGGGCCTAAGCATCTATTGTTCTTTTCGTTACCAACAGCATGCCAGAGTTCACAGCATTTCAGAGACAGAATTCTATCAAAGCCTTTGACTCCATTTTACAGCATAACATTTTGTTCTTTATTAATAAAAAAGTATACCTAGCAAAATTTCAGATGATATGTTTAGTAGTAGTCCTACCTGCTCCACCTCGTTGGCTGTGTGCTGCATCGCTTCATTATGCTGCTCTTCCAACATTTCCAAGTTTAACTCCTCTAAGAATTCATTCCTTTCATCATCCAGCCAGCCTTCCTCCAGCTGCAAAGAATACATTAGTACATTATATTATGTTAGCAAGGACACATGCTAAAACAGGGTAAACTCAAATGGCAATGCTTGACTAGTTCTTTTTATCCTAATGATTCTCTTCAGAAAGCCAGGCGGTAGGAGTTCGCGACTCAAAAAGGGAAGAAGAAAAAGGCGGATTAAAAAAAAAAAAGGGACTCTAGGCCTTTTATCCTTTCTTGAAACAGTATGACTGATTTTCTCTCATAATGAAGGAGACTGCACAGCGCAGACATTATTTCCTTTCAAAAGGTATGAAAGGCGTAGCGCATAATCCTGAAGCTGTCATGTTCATTACCGGCGAGAGGCCCCACACTGGAAGAGTGGCAACGTTACTAATAGGGCCAGGAGGCAACCGGGCTCTTTCCTCTAACAACCTCCAACCCAGCGCTCTGCCCTCAATAGAACCCTTATGTTGCATTTCTGTCACCATTTTCCCATTGATCTTCCACACAAACAAACAAACAGAGGAGGGTGAGAGAATGATGCGGTGACTTGAAGGGTAATTTTTGTTCTTGCGGTGTGCCTGGAAGCAATGCTTATCCCTTTGTTTGTTTTTTTCCCACAAGTGTAAAATAATACTTCAACATTTGGTGAAGACAGTGTTGAAAAAGACCAAGAGGGGATGCTATGTTTTCTGCCACCTGAGTACATCCTCTTCCCACACTCACTTTGTACCCTTCGTATCTTTCTAAACTGATAAAACAGGCACCCCTGGCCTAAGACACTTGTTCCCATTTTGTTCACTGTGCAGATGTGTGCATGTGGTGCACATCCACTTGTATCTATAATCCCTTGCCAGATGGCAGACTTTGTCGAAAAAGAGAATATCGGTCAGTGGCACTCCTGCTTATAACAAGATCGTTGCAGATGGAAACACCAATTGTTTTGTGATTGAAGGAACCAAAGGAAGAAGGTGACAAAAAGATGCTAAAAGGTAAGTCTCAGCATTCGACAATTACAGGAGTACCAACTATTCATGTCCCAAGACAGCAAGAGTAATGTAACATGGGCCAACACCTACAGCAGAAGAAGTATCACTGTCTCAAAGCCAGAAGAGCTCTGGCCACACATGCCAGCCAGAAAAGTTACACCCAACTATGAAGCAGTAGTTCAAAGACTCTGATGTGTTTTTGCCCGTGCTAATGAACACTTTCCTCTTATAAAGAGCATCAGTCTTTCACCATTTCCCTTGGTGAAGCCATCCTCTAACAGTCTGTGATTAGAAGGCATATTTTTTTCTGGAGGACATGTAATTTTTATGTTTGTCCTTGATAGGATTTTCAAATTGTTCTTTGAAACATCTGCTACTGGTCATTAGTTCTGTTTACTTCCCTTGTTTGCTTTTTTTCCCAAGGAGAGCATGAACATAGCCTTCTTCTACCATAAAGGACGCAGTTGAATTTCCCTCATTTAAGGAAATTGCTGAGATTTACAAATCTGAAGGACGAAAGATGAATCTCACTTGGGCAAATATGCTGCTTTGATTGTGGCAGACCCAGTGCTTAACTAATGGGAATGCTTATGTTATGTTACAGCTTTTAGAATAAAAATAATATATGGCTTAGTACACATGTGCACTACATACACTGTGTGCACATATAGGCATATGAACACACATGCCTGTGCCATTTATTTACATATTAAACTGGCTGTGTGCTCCTTTGGTGCTCCGTTTCAAAACTTAATTATTCATTGGTATTCACTGCACAAATAAATGGTCAGAGAAGGTTTTCTTCCCTGTTACTGAAATGAATGTGCTCAGCAGTCACCCTTCAAGATTGCAATACTGCCATTACCATTTTCTATCAAGAAATAAAAAGCCTGCTTAAACCTGCCATCTCTTACAAGAGTCAAAGCAACACACTAGCAGAAATGTGGACAGCCTGATTTCTGACATACTATGTTTTTTTCTTCAGTTTTGTAAGAATAAGTTCTTAAAGCACATAAATTAAAAAAACTCCAAACAAATATCAAAGCCCCAAACCCAAACCAAAACATACATTTACAATTTGAAAGGAGCATCCATATGGGAAGCTATACTTGTACAGCTAAGTAATTCCTTATTTGATATTGATGTAACTTTATCATGTTGACCAATCTAAACAAACAGAGAATATGAACTTTCCCTGGACATGTATTTTTTAAGTGTGTGGGTTTTTGTTCCCTACAGAAAAACAAAATCTTAGTGAAAAATAGTAAGAATAATATTGAAACAGCTCTTTCAAAACTTCTGCAACTTCAAGAGAGGGCTACAATTCTGCAATATAAACTGATGCATGGCTTTTTTTTGCTGTACTATGCCACCAGTTTTATGGGAATTGTTTAGATTCCTCAAAAACATAAAGGAAATGAATGCTGAAATTGTGAGTCTTTTATAAGCACTGTATTCAAGTAGAGATTCCAAGTGGCACTGAATTACACTTACTCAATTTAATTTATACAGAGTATGCAGCTAGTGAGACTGAGAATATCAGATCAACAGCAGGAAAGACAAATAGCAACATAACCAACTCTGAATTGTTGGCAGATGGAGAGAACAGTGTCAATATAATATCTTTTCACTTTGCAATGGCCTATAAACAGAATATAAAGGGAACTACAAACAGAGGTCTTCCACTCTATCTCCTCTTTAGTCTGATAATCAACCTAACAATGCAATGATATAAAAAATCCTTGGCATGGCAAGATTCTTGGCACTGGCGAAATTTTATTTTTAAAGCCACAAAAATGCTTCTAAAGGCTTTTGAAAACGCACCTCCCAAGATGCAATTTGTGATGTACAAGTATTTTTTTGACCAGAGTGCTTTGAAAACAATTAGATCCAAGTTTGCTGAATGGTTTTGTAGTAAAAGTTCCATAATTGGTACATAAATGAACAGTTTACATGCCTGCTTGTAAGGGCATAGGAAAAAACCATCACCAATGACCAACAATAGCTTTGCATAAGTTCATATAAATGACTGAGGTGAGTATGGGAAATTTATCTCCAGAACAAATAAGAATCATCTAACGAGTAATACACAGTTTTCAAGTACTAATTCATATTTTATTAATACTATACTAGTGCTGCCAGCTTTATTTGTATACTTGCTTACTCTGTCTGCTGGAAAGAAATTGCTTCGTTTGGGGAAAACACACCCTAGCAGTGCCATGCTATTTTCTTTGTTGGCTACACGGGGGAAAGCTCTGCAATTATCTGTTTCCTCCTTTTGTCAGGAACTTTAGCATTCTGGTTTCTCAGCAGTTCACTACTTACAGCGACACCAAATGTACAGTATAACTTGGGTTCTGGCTCAGTGCATCTATTTACTCTAACCTGCATCTCCGGTCTTGCGACCAGCAACACAATTTTCTTGCATTCTTCGCTGGAGAGCAATGCTACTGCCTCCTCCCGATTCTGGACATCTTGGCCATTTATCTAGAAAACAAATGAAAGTGGCACATTAGTTTCTATTTCCACAAAGCAACACACAATAAAGGGCAGATATCAGCTCATTTGTGCTGAATGTATGGACAATGAAACTCGCGCAACGGGCTCATCTTCAGCCCCTCAGTGGTAAGTGCCTTCACTCAATTATGCGCTTACTGTAAGAGCTGTATCGATTGTTGAAGGATGGTGGACATCAGAGGAAGCAGTTATGTTCATAAATGTCCAACCTGCGCCCTGGTAACATACATCTAGCAACACAATTAACCAGCCCCTGACAGGTGACGTTCATCTTTCTCCGTTCAGAGTAATGGAAGTGTCACTCTGAGATAATAGTGCTGGTGGAAGCAAGACTGGTAATGCTACAGTTGAAATCAGTCACACTGTATGCTGGTAGAGAGCCAATTAGAGAGCTACAGTATTATCTCTCACCAGGCAATACTTACAGGCCACTGTTTATTGCTGCTCCATTTAATCATTTCATATTTGTGTGGACGGCTTAGTATCCAGGACCACATAAAACATATGTATCCCTCCCTTACAAGGGGATAAGCAAAATAAAAGTGGTTCTCCAATAAGAATGTGCTTTTCTTGCTACCTTTCTCCTGTTCTGTCACCTCAATAAAAGAGCTGCGTCCATGACTACATGGGAACAAACACATTTTGCATTGTCCAAAACCCTTTATGGAGGGAATCAAAGAGAAATCTTATTTTCCATATGTATTTGATTTTGTCCAATTCAAAGCACAAGAAATGGATTATTCTCATTGTGTCAACAACAAAAAATAAACACTTGTTCTATCTGAAAATGAGTGAAAACAAAACTGGAAGACAGAAGGATCTAAATAGTTTTGGGAAATAAAATCTTCTAAGGGTTTGATTTCAAAGGAGCAGGAAATTCCTGGTTGAAAAGTAAAGAGAAAGTTGCATTTCTGTATGTGCATTTGACCTGAACGCCTTGACTAACAACTACAGCTTTAACTAAGAACAAAGAAAACTGCAGTGTATTCTGATGACCAAACCAGCAATGAGTAAAATGTCTGAGACCCTTCAAAGCTTACCATGAAGGCCTGTGAGAGGGCAGACAACCATCCGGTAACGCAGAACTGTCCTGTGTGTCAAAAACAGTGTGTCCAGAAGGAGCAGGGAAATAATCATGCCACTGTACTCAGCACTGGTGAGGCTGCGCCTTGTGTTCACTTTTGGGCCCTTCACTACAATGAAGACATTGAAGTGCTTGAGTGGGTCCAGAGAAGGGTAATGAAGCTGAAAGGAGGTTGTAGTGAGGTGGGTGTTGGACTCTTCTCCCAAGTAAGACAAGAAGAAATTGACTCAAATTGTGCCAGGAGAGGTTTAGATTGGATATTAGGAAAATATTCTTTACTGATAGAGTGGTGAAGCACTGGAACAGGCTGCCCAGAGAACTGGCTGAGTCACCATCCCTGGAGGTGTTCAAAAACTGTGTTGACACGGCACTTCAGGACACGGTTTAGCGGTCGTGCCAGTGTTGGGTTTAAGGTTAGACTTGACAATCTTAGAAGTCTCTTAGAACTATAACGATTCTATGATTATTCTATGATTACCCCTAAAAGCAGAGATACATCTGCAGAGGTGCAGAAACAGGTCCTCCACCTTTTGCAGAACACCAGCAGCTGCGGTGGCTGCTCTGGTGACCCGTGTCAGCTGAGCAGCCACCCCCTGCGGACTCTAGAGACAGTGGCCCTGCTGTCCCCACACAGCCTGGAGGTACCCACCCCACTCCAGCTGCATCCTCATGGGCGCTGAGCAGGACTTCAGCCTGCCCCATGGCACTTCACTCCCATGGATGGCATTTGCCAGCCTGGAGGTTCACAGCTAAAAATAGCAGAAGATTGGGCAAGTCTCACTAGGGCTGTCCTTACAAAACCTTTCTCTTGACTTTGTAACATTTTATGTAATATACTCAAGTTGCTCTCAGATGCTTAAGGAGACAGTGAAGGTGATGGGAGAGGTGTGAGATTTGTGAGAATGAGAAGTAGACAGTTTCAGCCTCAAAAACGTGAAGAAATCTGCTGTAGTTTTGAGAGAAATACACAAAACACAGTGTCCTTCCCAACCTTAACCAATGCCACCTGCCACCCACAGAAAATGCCCCCATGCTCAAGGACCCAGCTCACTCCCAGCCTCAGTGTAATCCTCCCGTAATGGCACTGTCACCTTCTATTTCTCTGAGTTATCTCATCAATAAGAGTAGATAGAGGGTCAATGTGTTTTCAGATATGAAAGTAAACCCCACATAACTCTCTGGGTGTTAACTTTAATGATCAGACTCATAGCTATATATCAGCACTGACATTAAAGTAATGCTCCGGTCTACAAAAGGACGGCAGAATTACCAATGCTCTTCTCTCGCCCCCAGAGTCTTTACTCACAATTGAAATGAATTTCATCAGGAACCAGAGAACATTTGCCTGCACTGCTCTTGGCTTTCTACTTCATCCAGAAATTTTAGAAAGCAAGGATAGGAGCAGGAAATGGATCTACCTTCTACTTCCCTTTTTTGAAACACATAGAGTGAAAATGAAAGTCGTTTCTTCTCAGTTAAATAAACTATTTTTTTTCTGATCTTTTAAACTTAAAAATATCAATATCCTGTTTGCTTTCTTCAGTAGGTATTTTACTGAAAGCCACAGAAAGCAGTGCATTGACTTTTCCAGTCCTAGCTGCACCCCAGGATGTGGTTCCATCACTCCAGATACCACCAAGGAACTCACTGCCCTTCCACCGTGGTGTCTGTGTCTTTTGGGGGGGAACACCACCCATCCTGTGAACGTATTCACATTCCCAACCACACAGGAAGTAAACCAGCAGCCCCTGAGAGAGCCCAGACATTAAAACGTAACTTATTATTTCCTCTACAAAAGATGGGCCACTTTGGTAAGCCAGCTCACAGACCCTGTTGTGTTAGCTAGACTCCCAAAGCTGATACCGGAGTATGAGATACAGGCCACAGCAGTGACATTTCCTGCAGAAATGAAAACACTGGAGCGAAGGAACTGGCTGATCTTGTGATAACCTGAAAACTCACGTGGCTAAATTAATGAAGGGCAATTACAGAACTGGTTACAGAAAAGTGACTTGTCACACCAGGAACTACTTCTGGGGCTTCAGTGAAGAAAGATCAAAATAAAAGGGAAAGCAACTGGGAACCAGAACTAAAATGCTACAAGACAACAAAGACTTTCCAGTCTACTGATTTTTGTTAGCTCTTTTGTGGTTTTGTCACTAGGGCAAAAAAAATGCTATTTGTTGCCAGCTGAAAATGGAAAACCACTGTCATTCTAGCTACTGCCCTCTCTGTACACGTATAGTGCCCTCCTCAGAGCCAGCAGCCAGATGCCCTCACCCCCAGGGCTATGCTGTATGCCACAAACCTGTCTTTGGGGCAGGTCTTTAAACAAGTGGATCAATAGAAACAAAGGGAAAAAAAAAGAAAAGCCAAGATAGTGGATTGGAAAAGACCTCAGAAAAGCAGTGTTTTATCAGTGGAAGAAAGAAAATATTACTAAAAGACTAATGAACCCCCTCCTCAGGTATGTCTATCCTTTACTAACAGCACATCTTTTGTATGAAAAATCTTATTCTCTATGTTCAGCACAAATGATTTTTACCCAAATTTATGCGATTGGTGCATGATCATGAAGTCTCTGACACCCATATTTATGTCTGGAGGATTCCTGTTTAGAATTTAACACTGAGATTAACATAGTGGAAATGAGATTTGCTAATAAATACGGCAAAAAACAGACACAGGACATGAGGGCATGAGCCAGAACGAGTTTGTCATTCTCATTTTTCAGTACACGCACTCCAGCTCCCAGCTATTGTGTTAAAAAACAGACAGACATGGATTTTCTCATCGATCACAGTAACAAAGAGAACTACCTTCCCTCATTAACAGTCCACAGAGAAGACAGCACCGCACGTTTGTCTGAAAAAATAGTTTAAGGAAGAGTCTATTGCCACATACTTGCAAAATGCGGTCTCCTTCACGGATCCGGCCATCTCTGGCAGCAATGCTGTTTGGATCAACCTGCACAGGACAACATCCAGTAACTGAACATGGAAGGATTTTTACTGGAAATACAACAGCTGCATAACTGCATTATTTGATAAAGTACCATTTTCAATCTGTACGGAGGTAATCTGAAATCTCCTTCAGGGTCATACGATCTGAACAGATCTTTAAATAATCATATAACCTTGTTCTACATAAAAGCCTAAAGACAGAAAAAGTTTGGGAGCATATGCTTTTCAGATTTCCTATGCCACCATCAGGCATTAACCTTCAGCTGTCAGAGCACCAAGAATTAATGACAGAGTCCCTCTGGAAGTTTAATATGGACTGAGGTGCTTCAGCAGCAGTTGATATCTCTATACAAACAGTCTTGTCTTTAGGAAGAAAGCAGGTTTATTTTTACTTGATGGAAACATTTACTATTAAATTATTCTCTTAGTTTTCAGTCTGTTACTTCCTCTGCAATTTTGCAGCTTGTGAGGAAATGGTAAAATCCCCAAAGGATCTATATTTTATAGATCACTCACAGGTACTGCATATTGTTCCTGGGCTGAGTCAGTTAATTTTAAGTTAGTTTAACCTAAATAGATGTTTAGGTCTCCATTAAGAGTTTATTAAAGTCACTATAGCTCCTCCCTAAGCAAAGACCTACTGTTTATTGCACAGCAGTTTGATCTATCACCTTTCACTTGATGGTTATCTTAAATCATTTATTTTGCTTCATCATGCCGTAAGCTGTTTTTTCAAACCAAACATTTGAGTTGAGCCTTTGGTTTGCAGGTTACATCCTCTACAGCTGTTAGATATTATTATCTTCTTGCGCACTGTCACAGAAAAAAAAATACTCTGAAGTGCTTAATCAAGTACGAAGGACAACATAATTACATTCACTTTTAAAGGTCTGAGATATTTTTCTAGGAACCCCAGCACATTTCAGGTAGTATAACAGAGTGTTTTAAGAGATCTCTGCACTTCCTTCATCCTCACAAGGTCAAACAGAATTTAACAGCAGCACTTATACAACTGGTGAGAGACTTATTGTTGGGTAGTTTTAAATTAATTCTTCATTCTTGTTCCAAGGCTGTGCTCTTCATTGTCTTTGACACTGCTGCTGGCCTGCAAATATGCAATTTTGCCTTCATCCCCATTCACTGATACGTAGGAGAATTCTACCAATCTTCTCTGTTCAGGAGCTTCACTCAAAATTTAGAATCTTAGAATCACAGAGTATCTCAAGTTGAAAGGGACTCATAAGGCCCACCAAGTCCAACTCCCTTCTACTCCCAGGACTACCTAAAACTAAACCAGCTGTCTAAGAGCACTGCTCAGACACTCCTTAAATTCTGACTGGCTTAGGGCCATTACCACTTTTCCAAGGAGTCTGTTCAAGTGACCTACCACCCTCTCAGTGAAGAAATTTTTTTCCTAAGGTCCAAATTTGGTTCAACATGTCACAAAAGTGAAATTGGGAACACCGTTCATGCAGGACAGCTTGGACTCACTAGTGAGCTTGGACTCATTAGTGAGCTTACACTCCCAAGAGTTCTGCCCTATCCAGAAAAACAACCCTCTCTGAATGGCTGAAGACTCAAAGGGAGCTCAGTGTTCCTGCAAGACTTGTGAACTGACTCTGTGAAACACTAACACCCTGTGATACGTACTGGATGTCATGTTTTCCTGGTAAAGCCAGTGAAAATCTGAGGGTTCATCCCATCTCAATACACAGTATTCTATTTTTTGTCTGGCAAAAATAAATAAATAAAATATTAGTCTTTCCAACATATTCCTCCCTGAAGCTACTCTCTCCACCCACCTGTGGTGAAACACAGGTTGCCCAGAGAGGTGGTGGAGGCCTCTTCCCTGGAGACATTCAAGGTCAGGCTTGATGGGGCTCTGAGCAACCTGATCTACTTAAAGATGTCCCTGCTCAATGCAGGGACCTTTAAAGGTCCCTCCACTCCAACACATTCTGTGATTTTATGATTCTACGATTCTATGATTCTGTGATTCATTCTATGATTCTGTGTCTGTGCATACTACAACTGTAACAAAACCACAAATAATAAAATAAGGATTATCCACTGCTATGACTACCAAGGCTGGGGCAGAGGGAGAATGCAAGCAGGTTGTGAAGGTGCTTAAACACTCTGCCTGATTTCCATCTTAAGAGCAGCTTTCTTTCAAAATTCAGACAATGCTCAGACTGCTTTGTACTTCCCTAACTGTGATGTTGTAGTTAAAAGCATTCACATTAAAGAAGCTCACTAGTAATAATTACACTACCTGGGCAAAATAATTTAGGATGATAATCTAAACAAAATAAAAGTGACACATGCTGGCTGGTGGCCAACACTTCCACACTCTGGTCTCAAGAGCACTTGCTCTTACATTCCCTGGCACGTTCAGCCCTCCACCATGAGCATCTCCCATGCTCCTCCCCATTGCCATGTCCTTACCTCGCTGACATAGATCCCTGTATCCTCCTCATCATCAGTTCTGTAGCAGACAGTCAGCCCCAGCTTCTCCTGGCTGCTAACGCGGCACAGCTCCACCTCCTAGAAGAGAACACACAGACTCGTATGGTGGCTTTTGCCGAGGATAAAAAATTATGTGGCACAAGACAGCACCAAGCTGCTGACACACTCATACTGTAGGACGTACTCATACATATGACCTACTCATACTGTCCAGTATCGAGACATAATATTTTGTGTGCATCTTTAAGGGGGAAAATATTCTGTGAATTCAGAAGGAAATCTCAATACGATGCAGGTTCAAGCTACATAGAAACAGTTCAGTAAGACATGCCAAACTTTCAGAAACATGGCTGTGCATCAATTTTGCAGTGTGGGTTTTTTTTCTTTTGGATAATAGAAGCTGATTTACAGTATATGACATAGTCATTTTAGTCCTATCACATCAACTATTGATTTATAGGATATAAAACAGACTGGCTACACATCAATCAATCCATCATGCAAGTGCCACTCCCTTCTAACAGCAATCCAAGCCATAAAGCAAAGCCACAGCCTTCTGTTAATAGCATAATTTCTTCCCTGACCAGTTTAGTGCCATGGCTTCATTGCAGAAGCTGTTAGATAACAGAAGGATGCTTCAAGGAATCTCCTGCGGAGCTGAGCAGCCGTGGCATCCTCCTCAATTGTGAGATGATGCAGAAAACATATTTTTAGTGCCAGATGTCCCAGCAGTGGCATCTCATGAAAAGTGCAAATTTTAGGGCAGATGGTGCAGTGATAACTACTACATATACCCATCTGAGTTAAGGATCTTTAGAGTTTCACAGGGGAATCATTCACAAAAATGCAAAGCTGCACTTGGTTTGAACACCATGAAACAAACAATTGTAATAAAGCATGATAAATCTAACAACACAGAGTATTAGCTTGGTTGCAAATGCAAAACTTTAGTTGATAGATGTATATATGTATTTAAAGGGAGTCTGCAGGTGACATTTGGAGCTCAACAGCTTCTGCTTCCCACGGCTGTGCAGAAAAAAAGAGACAAACCCATGCTTCAGTTCTCAGTCTGTGAAACAGAGCTTGTTCCTCCCCATCCCCAGAGATGTCACGCAGATTAATCCACAAAGAGGCACAGGGCTCACAGCAGTGAAGACTCTACACAGTTCAGTCAAGTTGTGGGGACCAGGTCAAAATGCCGCAACTTACAGAAAAACCTGCAGTTCACACGCATGGGTTAGCCAACGAACCCCGTGCCATTTTCATTTCAGCTTAACAGCCTTCATGAAGTGAGGTGCTATGGCTCGCTTCACATCAACACAGGTTCTGTACCTGCATAAACTCTACAATCTTCTCCCTGGACTTTAGACATTCATCTTAATGCAAAATAAGAAAATGTAGAAAATACCATGAAATCTGTAGCATTCCTGAGTTTTCCTTAAATGTGGTAGATGTTTTAAATAGGGGGGTAAGAAGTGGAATTAGTTGCCAGTACACATTATATACTGGGCTTGCAAGAAGAAATGCAGGACCTTGTTTTATTAGCAAAAGAACTGCAGTGACCTGATTTTGGCATTGGGAGCCAAGGTATGTGTGCTGGAGGAAGGCCTATTCAAAACCCATAATAACTGATGCCTCCAGAGGGAAAGAACACTTGACTAGAACTGTAATATTAGGGAGAAATTACAGTAACAAAACGGCTTCAATTACAACAACAAGGTATACTTTTAAGGAATAAAGAAGCTTGCGGTCCCTTGGAGGCCTATAAGGAAGCCTAAACACACCATAAAGGACGGAGACTGGGACCTTTAAATCAAGGCAAATGAGGAGCTGTGCACAAGCTGAAATCCATTGACTTTCATTGTCCTGCTGGCACAACCTCCCATCTTCCCACACTGAGGCTGGACAGGGGCCCCAAGGACTGCTTGGAACATAATTTCTTCAGTCGGGAATGACCTTCAAGTTCTTGTGGATGATTTGTCTCAAAATGTTACTACCAAGCCCTACAAATGTTTTAGGCTGCAAACAAAGTGAATTCTTTCAGTGCCTGGCTCAGTGAGAAAAATAATATAACCACTTAGGGCATGAAAGAGAAAAGGAAAATCAGGATGACCCTAGTGGCTCCATCCTGGAAGTGCAAGATGTTTGCTAGAACTGTCTCTGGGAATCAGGTGACGACAAGTATCAGTGACTAATATCTGCTGACTGGGATGCACCAGTCCTGGCTGCACATAGGGCTTGTGCTGCCACAGCTTTTGTTTCTGCACCCAGTAACAGGGTTTAGGGCTGAGATCTGCATTTGGTACTCTTGGGACTACCTCTTTCCTAAATGGGGCATAGTCTGATAACTGTGCATGGCTGGGGCCACTTAGACGTTCTATATACCTACACCTGAGATACTGCTACTTAGTGTTACAGGCCCAACAAACACCTCGTTTTTCAGTCTAGACTCAAGTACATATTGAAGCAACGTCTCATTCAGCATGAGGGAGAAGTTGGATGAGGTCTCTTGCTTTGCACTGGAAGTCATTCCAGATAACTGCCTTCTTCTCACTGCACTACTAATCTCACAGCATCTTCTTTTTTACAGCAAGTGTGACACATCCTCGTCACATTCAATTAAATCAGGGTTGACGGAAGATCTCTGGAAAATTTAAAACCACTTTAAAATATTAAATCATCTCTCAGAGTAAATCTTCATATAACAAACAGATTTGAAATAACTTCAACAGAAGAGTAGCAACTGAGACACTGGAGAACCTGGACCATCATGGTCAAATGCATTTGACATCGCATTTTGCAACAGATGGTTTTTAATCTTTTTTTTCTTCCCAACTGGTCTTTAACAGAAGAAACAATAAGTTTGGCAGTAGTAATGAATTTGTAAGAATGTAATTTCCTCCTCTGAAATCCCTTTAGACACATGCACACGTGCACACAACCCCACACACATATAGTTGCTTTCTCTTTGGGTTTTGTGTGTCTGCATGTAAGGGACTGAACTGACAGTCTTTGAAATTCAGCATTTTAAAGAATCTGTGAGAAACAATATTTGGAGATTCACGAAGTGTGCTGACAGACAGATGGCGGAAGGAGAGGCACTGAGGAGAGAGCTCAGGAGATGACAGCTTCCCCCTTTCTTTTGGGCACTCTGGGGGTAGCCGCCTCTCAACATGAAGAGTATTCTGCTGCCAAGTGACAGAAATCAATGCCAAATTGCAAAATCTTTGACTTGCTGCTTCTTTTCTCTGTGTGGGTAGAACAATAATTCAGTGCCACAGTAAAGGCAATACTATAAAGAGTTTTGCCATAAATTATCTGCTGCAAAGATAGACATGGAAATTAGAATGGCTATCCTGTCTTGAAAGACTGGGATGTGAACTTCCAAGGTAGCTCATTTTTGCACACATAGAAAAGATAGTGAAGAAGTGCAAGTCATGCTCCTGAAGGACTGAAAACTGGTTATATCGGTCATCCTCTAAAGTGATGGAGTAATGGCTGTAGCCTCTGGCTCCCAGCTAAAGGCTGTCATTTGCTTCAGTGGTGGAAAACCAGTTTACAGGCTGTCAGGCTCAGGAGATCATAGAATCATAGAACAATTCAAGTTGGAAATGACCCTTGGGATCACTGAGTCCAAGCATTAACCCTACACTACAAGTTCACACTTAAACCATGTAAGACCAAAGGAGCTGTCACCTGCTTGGGGAGGGAAGGCTAGGTTAATATTGTCATATCTTTCAAGTGTTAGAGAAGTAGATTATAAATTTTATCAGCTAGGCTGCTATCTAGAATTGCTGAAAAGAGGTTAAGGGCTGTTAAAGGAGACCTTGCAAAAGTTTGCATCAGCTTGCAGTTACAGTGGGTGTTTCTACTAAAAGCAAGATTACAAAGAGTAATGTTGATGGTCTATTTTCTAAGAGTGACAGTTCTTGAACAGTCTTTTGGGGGCAAAAAATGTTTTGAACTCCTCACATTTTCCCTCTGTACACACTGCAAGAACAATGACAGTCCAGGAGGGAAGTTGGTAAAGTTTCTTGTTGCCACATTCAGATGTTGAGAAGAGCAGTTCATCTGATGACTGTGCTGGAATAACCCTTCTCCCACTTTCTGTTAGGTTTAGCTTACTCCCTGTTCAACACCGTTAAATCCATTTTAGTGTGGCTGAGCGCTGTCTCTGTCTCATCACTGCATGTCGGCCTCTCTCACCTCCATTCGAACCATCCCACCTTGGCACTCCCCTCCACCAACAAAATCCTTCTGTCCTCATCTTCAAAGCCCTTACCCCTAAGTGACCCCTCCCCCACGTTCACAGACAGCAGCCTCACCCACCCTTTTCTGCTATTTCCCCCCAAATATTTCCATTCTTTTTAAGTGCCCATGCCCACACAGCCCCTGCATCACCTTCCTTTTATTATCACCTTACAACCCATTCTGTTATCTCATCTATAGAAATCTGTAAAGAAATTACTACCTGGTAAGCAGGAAGTCCCATCTACTAAAGTGACCACTTCAGTATGTATGAATCATGCATAGAGATGGGCACTACTGAAGTAACCTATTAATATCGCCACTTTGTTCTCCTTTCTCTCTCTCACCCTGGGATCCTTTGTTTGGTCTTGCTTTCTCACGCTTCTGTGTGTTGAGCAGAATTTTTTTGTACAGGTGGATAATGAAGCAAACAAGAAATCAGAGCTCAATACAAATTAGTTGCGATGACCAGCAAGCTACCCTCTCCCCAGGGCAGGAGACTCTCAAAGCCCATACAAAAACTTTCAGTGTTTGCAGGCAATTGGGTGGCTTTGAAACTCAGAACAAACTTGAGATCTGATGTGTTCCTTGCCCAGGAACTGCTGGGGAGTAAGAGGGTTCAGGGAATCCTTGGTGCTCTGTGATAACATTAGTTTTGTTGAATTTGACCTACTATATTCACAGAATGAGCAAAAATATTGATTCGATTCTTTCCACAGAACTGCAACTCTTAGGTTGCTCTAATGCCATGGACGTTTAAGGAGAAAAATACTGCCCCGGCTCTGAAGAGTTTATAGTCCAGTTGCCCGATGCTATAATACTGTATTGTC